AATTTTATAACATTTCTTTAGTATGAAGTACAAAGGTATAAAACATAAAGATTGTACTTTTTATAACTCTAAAGAGGCAATCTTTAATATGACTTATTCTAATAAATTATTTGTAATATTTTGTCTTTTCTCCTTTTAAATTTGAGAGTTCTTTATAACTATCAAATAGTCGAATATTTATTTTTCTCGATACAAAATGGATGTCCTTGCCTTTTTTTTTACAAGTGGGAGTTTAATCCACTTATATTATTATAACCAATATATTTAATTATATGCTTTTTCCTTTTACATTAGTTCCTTTACCTTTTCTTTATTTCTCAATTGATTATGATTTTTATCCCTTTACATTTCATAGTAATTTGTAAGACACATTTGTGTTATCTAAATTTTACTAATGGTTAACTTAAAGATTATCAAATTTTTAAAATTCTTTAACTATCAAAGACGTAACAGGATAACTTTGGATTTGATGATTCCAGAGAAATTTTGCACAAATTCCTTGCCCTCCCTAGTTTTCAGAATTTAATTTTTAGCTTTTTGATATAACTTGTTACTGTATTTGGAAGTACAATATATTATTCTTTTCTTACAAAAATGTTTTTTCTATTCAACTTTGCAGTTTTGTTTGTAGTATTTATTTCCTGTTAGCTCATTTTGACATGTCAGCTCTTTCATTAAGTTCTTGAGTTTGATTCTGTATCTCTCATCTGAAATACCTTTTAAAGCCTAAGGAATAAAATAGTACAGATGCCATCCAATCTATTAAACTTTACCCATCTGTGGAGAGTTATTTTTTGAGAAAAGATTTACATTAAACACTTGCTGCTTTAATGTTAGTGAACATGTATCACAAAATTTCTTTGACTGAAAGATGATTTTGTGCTTATTGGCACATCTTAAAAACCTTGTGTACAGTTCAGTTAGATCCCTACAGGAGAACTCAGCAGTCTAAGATAGGATTTATGTCCCTGTAAGGAACCAAAAACTATGCTGTGCTCTTCTGAACTGCACTGCCTAATTCAGATACTCTTATGCATTGCACTGCATAATTCACATCATTCCTCTAGAGTTCTAGGCATAGACACCTTCTCTAAGTACTTTATCCTCCTATAAATTTTGTTTGAAGGATTAATGACACCTGTTGAGCAACTAACATCTTGTTGGAACTGAACAAGAATGACTGAATGGCATAGCTTGGCTCACAGATCTTGGCAGATGTGTACAAAATTGCTCTCCCTTCACTTAGGCCAGAGTGATGAGACTTTGTTATATTTTCATTAGCAGTTATAAAACCATGCATCGTTATTTTCCTGATTAGCCATCAATACCAGTTAAGTCTGTAACAAGATCACAGTTTCAGAATTTGGAGAATATACTGTTGATAATGACATCTAATTAAAAACAAAATGGCTTCTTATATTTTAAAAAATCTTAGTTATTGATGGAATTACTGCCATCATGCCAGACACTAGTACCCTTTCATTTCTTCTGTTTTATTTTAATTGTTATTACTTAATTATATAATAATCTGATGGGAAGAAAATTCTGAAACTAAGAGAGTGATTACAGTAATTTTTAAACAACATGCTGAAGTATTTACAGGCCGATTATAAGAAATCTCATTGCATCAGTTAGAGTAAAAGCTTTCTTATAACAGAGTCGCCATGGGTGCTAGGACAAATCAATGTAAGCAAATCGATTTTTCTTAGGTTTTTAAATGTTTAAGCCAGCACCTGGCCTTTGTAATATATCTTGGTTGTAGGTAATAACTAGGAATTTCAGATGAAGGATTAAAGTTTCTGAGTTAGTTATGCTACCTCAAATGATCCATTGGATGTGGCTGAAAATGCCAGCTTTAAATGTATTCATGGGATTAGGAATGAATACTTCTTTTGCCTGAAATCGTGTGGTTTAGCTTTAGTACTTACTGTAGTCAATCCATTTCTTTGAAATATTGAGCTGTCTGACAGCTTAAAATCCTAAGTTTCCTTTAAACTTGAGCCTGGCTTTGGAGGAAAAAGGGATAGTGTGGGGTGGATTTTATGTAAGTCTCTCAGAAGAAAAGTCACTGAAGTGCTTTTGCTGGCAGGGCACAGGGAAGACTAGCAAACTGCTTCATCTCAATCTTTGGTGGGTTTTTCCCTTAGCCTAGATCAACATTTAGTCAGATAATTGACGTCAAGGACACTGGAGTCTCTTGTTGGACCGTGTATCATTTTCCTTCCATGAAGAAAACATGGAAAAGATCCAAATACAAAGTTCACACTTTGCTAAGCCAGTTGGATATTAGGAAAAGTCTTCACACCCTTATACCCTTTATTCCCTGGCTGTTTATTTTTCATCGTAGTTGAGGGACTGAGTCTTTATAAATATCTCTTGATCAAATACCACCTTACAAGACTCCCTTCTTTGTGAGTGCAGCCAGGCACCACAGATGTATTAAAAACATATTCTGTGGAGATACTAACATGCTGGAGAAGCAGCGCCATGTCAAACATAAGTATCTAAATGGGCACTATTAAAATGATGGGAGCAGTAGGCTGAAAAGCCTGGGTTTAGTCCTAGACCTCATGCCTGCTTCTTAGTACATCATGGTTTTATTTGTTTCTTCATCTGTACACTGGAGGCAGCTTCACCTACTTTTGCTTAACTCAGAAATCTGGTGGTATAAGATTTCTGATATTGCTTATGAATTAGGAGGCCCTCTCCGTATACAGATTTTATCTTCAGTACACGTATACTTAACAATAGTCTGTTTTATACTTGAAAATATGTGGTAGAATGATATACTAACAATGAGGACATATTTTAAAAACTAAAAATAGAAAGAAAGAGTTCTAAAAAAAAGAATTCTACAAAGACCCTATATAGTGGAGGATATGCTATCTGAGCTTTAAAAATTCTTCACCCAAAAAGCCCAGAGAAGGTGAGAATGAGCAGGTCAGAGAGAGGAAATCTGGTGTGAAACAGTGGAGGGCAGGAATGGACATGACATGTTCAAGAAATTGAGAGAAAGTGAAGTCCATGTTAGATTTAATCCCCTTTTATTATAAGTATAAAAATGAAAACTTGAAGAGAATGACAATAGTCTGAACTTTTGTTCCGTGGTAATAAAAGGCTCATAGAGGTTGCATCTGAATTAACTGAGAATCAACAGGTTTTGCATTACTTTAGGAGGAAACTAAGAACTTAAGTGCTCAGGAGGATACAGAGTAAAATTAGCATTGTTTGGGGGGTTCCATATGAGAAGACTTCTATAGAACGGGATTTTTAGAAGGATGTGATAAAAGTGGACTTGTAGAGCCCTAGTCAGGTGGTTCATTGGTTGGAGTGTTGTCTGGTACACTAACAGTTGTGGGTTTGATCCTGGATCAGAGCACGTATCTGGGGTGCGGAATTAATCCTTGGTGGGGGCACATACAGGAGGCAGTTGATCTGTGTTTCTCACATCCATGTTCTTCTCTCTCAATAATAAAATAGAAGTAGATTTGTAGAAAAGTTGAAAGCCAGAAGCAGGGATCTGGGGGTAGCTAATTAGATGGTATGGTCAAAAAGTGCAGTTTGAATTGCAATCTGTAAAGAAGCACATTAAAGATACAAGAAATGCTAATGCAGATTCCTCCTCCATTCATCTTGGTTCATCTTACCCCTTGGCCCCAGAGCCATATGGAAACCTGCAGACAAACATTTTGCTGCCTTCTACCTGTTATGCTTTCTTAAGTTCTCTCCTGCCCAGAAATAGGAGGGTTGTGTTTTGTTTGAGACTATCCATGTTCTGGCCCATGTACCTCTCTCTAAGATTTCTTCCTTTTTCTCCCAAAAGGGAGAAAAAGACCCTGTGTTTCTGAAAAGACCCTGATCATTTCCTATCAAGTTGCTTTCCTTGTCTTTCTCCCGTCAGGTGTGTCTTTTCTCCTCTCAACCATATGAGTTCAGTCATCTTTCAAAGTCCATACCTTCAAAAATCTCTTTGTCTTGGAACGTCACTGGCTACTTTTTTGTTTTCACTTAGTAGCAAGTAGTTCTTTGTGTTGTTTTATTTGAATTCCTCATACTTTCTTTCTGTTGCTAGACTGAGAATATTGCAAAGGGGTTATGTCTTGTAACTTGCATCAAATTGCTCAGGACCTGTGCAAATGTGGTTGGTGATGATATCATAGGCTGTTCTTCCCTATGTGTGTGACTGAGTCTCACATAGACTAATGTTTGCAATTCTGTGTGTTTTTCCATTTTAAAAGAAAAACCAGAGCTGCATAAATTCGTAGAAACTTCTAAAATGTGAGCTTTGAAAGATCAGAGACTTTTTCTTTTTTTGGTTTAGCACCGGATTTCTACAGCTTACTACCAGGCCCAATTGTGGACTTAATACCCATTCGTTGAATGAATGCTGTCTTAATTTACTTGAACTGTAGGTCTTAATCTGGTACTTTTAAATATCTGGCACTTTTAAATATCTGGCAGGAGATCTCTGGAGTGTTGTCTCAACAAACAGAATTACTAAATGTCTTCCCAATGGCTAAAGGATAGCATCCAGCATCTCATCATTGTCTCCTAGGATAAGGAAACCTTGGTTTTTGTTCTGTTTTGTTGTTTCTTCTTTTCAGAAGAGGAGAGAAAAAATAAGGTGGCAAATTATAGTTGGTATAACCTGTTTTTAGCTTATTCCATGATCTGGGTCTTTTTATTATTGACAAGATACCACAATAGAACAGAGGAAAAATCCAAGGGAAGATAACTTTCCAAGATTTATGAACTTTTGTTAGACTTTACAGGTATTTATTCGAAGCTTGCTCACATTTCATGGTAAATGTTTTGCTTGCTCTACCCTCTGTGTTTCTTTTTATGGCAGCTTGCCTGGCACTATTCAGAAACTGGGAAGAATGTTGAGTATCAAGACCTTAAGTTATACATTTTTAGTGAAGCTTGAAGACCAGAACCAAAGAAACAGTTATGTGAAGAGACCACTGACTCTTCTCATTTCTCTTTTCTTTTGCCTGTAGCTCAAACCAGGGCAGAACAGCTGCAGGGACAGTGACAGTGAAAGCGCCAGTGGAGAATCCAAGGGCTTCCACAGGAGCAGCTCTCGAGAAAGGCTCAGTGATGTGAGTATTACAAAAAATCTCAAGCAGAACCATCAGACCATACATCCCTTGAATGAAGTCTCAATTCTCCAACACTCTGTCCCTTCTTATCACTTGGTATATCAAAGTATTATAGTTTACCCTTTCTTGATGTCCATGTGGTTGAGCCTTGTGTTACAGTGTCATTCCATTTTCTAGTTTGACCTAAAATGTGTTTTAACAGATTATAAGGTAGGTGGGAGTATTTGTCACCTTAGAAACTGTCAGGAAATTCACTTTTGTCTCTTGCCAAATAAGTGGCTGATTAGTCACCCCTTCCAACAGAAATAAAATGGCGAAAGGGATTACTACCAAACTCATGGGTGAAGAAATTACAAATAGCACATAGTTAAATGGCATCATCTCCCCATTGTACTATTGCATTTTTCTAGGGGAGAAACCCTTGTCAGAACACACCATGCCTCTCGAGGAACCTGTCAGCCCTTCTGCCCACTAACAGGCCTGATTCCCCATTACCACTTCCAAGAGCCACCTGGCCATCTTTAGAAACTTGCCTTCTTCCCTAACCCGTCATATGACAGGTTCTTGATCGATCCTTGCCCCTGAGAACAGCACTTAGAAACTTTCTTGTAAAATATACCAAGTAGGTAGAAAGTTTTATTAATAATATTGACACAGAAACATTATCAGATTAAGTGAGATAGTACTCTTAAGAAAGAAAATAGCAGTTCTGTCTCTGAGTTTCAAGAAGAGGAAATAGTTTTTGGATGTATAATAGAAGCAAAACCCATTGTCTCTTATCTTCCTTTTTTATAATGCTCTGAAGCAGTTGTCGTCATTATGGTGCATAAGGAGATCTAGTATATTAAGTATTAGTACTTATTTTTTACCTAAAAATTAAGTAAAGTAACTTTACTACTATCCAATTTAATAAGCAAGGAGCAATTCATGTCTATAATTTATAAACATTCTTATGTAGGAATGTGCTCATAACTTTTTTTACTGAGAAGTGTCCATAAGCACAAATGGTTGGAGACCATTGCAGCACATTGAGTCATTTCTCCATCAGGTAAGGTAGACAACCCCCAAGAATCAGCTATCTTCCTACACCTCTCAGGAAAGTGTGTGAAATGTAGGGTGATATTTGATGTGTATAGCATTGAATTCTTACAAGAATTAAGTTGAGTAAACTAAGTATAATTATTTCTATAGTACTCTTAATATCTTACTTATAGACAATCACCTCCCCTTATTTTAATATTAATAATGTCAATTAACTCAGTCTTTGCTATTAGTATTAATATGTATAAATAAGAACATTTCTTTGTTTATATTTCATTAATTTTGTGATAGAACTGTAATGATAGAAATTATAATGATAAATCTATAACAGTATTTCTTACCTGTGTTGCTGGCAACAATACTTAATCCTTAAGTAGCTGTTGTTCTGAGATTTTGGTTTGCTTTTAATGTGTGATCTTATTGACCTGGAAATGTTCCCAGAATTAGTCAGTCATAATTTCATCATAGACTAGGTAAATGAAAGCCACATTAGCTTATGGGCAAGAGCATAGTATTATAGTCATAGAGATCTTTTGACTGGTTGCCCTGAATTTATTTTCCATTAGACAAAAAAATGGCAAAAGATATCCCATTATATAGGAAGATTTAATATTGTTAAGATGTCAATACTACACAAAGCAATTTTCAGATTCAGTGCAATCCCTATGAAAATTACAGCAATCTTTTTTGCAGAAATAGAAAAGCACATAGTAAAGTTAATATGTCCTATCATGAGGCCCCTAGCAGAAAACACAATGTTGAAAAAGAAGAACAAAGTTAGGAGACTTATACTTCCTAATTTCAAAATTTACTACAAATCTACAGTGATCAAAATAGTACGGTAATAGCATTAGAATAGACATATAGACCAATGGGATAGTATTAAGAGCCCAGAAATAACTCCATTCACCTCTGCCCAGATTTTTGACATGAGTGCCCAGCACATTCAACTGGGAAAGAATTTTCTCTTCAACAGATGATGCTGGACAACTGGATTTCCCTGTGCAAAAGAATGAAGTTGGACATCTGTATCACACCATGTACAAAAATTAGCTCAAAATAAATCAATGCCCCAAATATAAGAGCTAAAACCATAAAACCCTTAGAAGAAAACATATGAGGTATGGGGGCAACTTTGCCCCATAAAGTCCCCCATCCACCAAGGATGAAAGTAAACACTACCAAGACATGATCTGCTTGGGAAGGAAAGATGACTGATCCCTCAAAGGGGAAGGGCCAAGAGCCCCCTGCCCAAGGGGCTTTTATTGGGTTCGTTTGCACAATAATACACGTAAGGATCAAACAATAGATATCATTCAGAGAACTATGATGGCTTATTCTCAGTCACGGTCAGATAGCTAAAGAGTCATAAAACTTTGAGGAACAGACTTTTTGCTTGGATCCTTCTCATTTAAATGAGAGCATTCTAAACAAAGCAGGTTTCACAGGATTTTTACATATTCTTTCTCATGCCTGATTTACCTGGGATACCCACCCTTTCCAGCATAGGGCTGCACTGCCTTCTCCATCATAGGTTTTTAGGCTTAAGTGGATTAGAGCCAGGCAGAACTTCTCCCAGATGGAAATGGGGACTTGGGCTATGTCACAATAGCTGGGGAGATGAGGATCCATCACTCCCTCTTTGTCAAAGCCCCCCAAGTCCTTCCATGATGACCTCCCAAGTGATCATGTCTGGCCTAGGTTGCCCTTCTCTGAGGGGTCGTACCCACCATGGATATTGACCATGCTTTGGAGGCAGGGAGATGAAGCAGGGGCAGCATCTGCTGCCAGAGACAAGCTTTGTCTCCTGCAGCTCACATTCTGGATGACGCTCACTTAGCAATGGGAAGCAGTTACAATTCCTGAAACCAGGCAGAGTGGTTCTCAACAATGAGGAAATCTTTACAACCTTGAATTTGGCAGTGGATTCCTAGATATGATACCAGAGGCATGCACAACAAAAAGGATTATAGAAAAATCAGATTTCATCAAAATCTTTTGTGCATGAAAGTGCATTATCAAGAAAGTGAAAAGCAAACCTATATATTGGGAGAAAATATTTGCGAGTCATGTAACTGTTAGATGTTTAATATCTAGGTATATAAAAGGACTTGAATAATTCAACAGTAACCAACAGTCCAATGCAAACATGGGCAAAGGACTTGAGTAGACATCTGTGCAAAAAGTAAATAAACAATTGACCAAAAAGCATATGGAAAATGCTCTTCAGCATTAGTCATTAGGGAACCGCAAATATAAATCATAATGAAATACCACTTTGTATCTACTAAGATAGCTATAATTTTTTTCAAAAAGGATAATAACAACTGTTGGCAAGGATATGGAGAAATTGGAACCAGTGTACATACTAATGGGAATGTAAAATGGTGCAGCCACTGTGGAAAATAGCTAGGCAGTTCCTCAAAAAAGCTAAGCACAGAATGCCCACATCCCCACCAATTCCACTTTTAGGTATATACAGAAACAAATTGAAAACAGGTTCTCAGATACTTATCAGCTAGTTCATTGCAGCATCATTTACAAAATCAAAAGGTGGAAACAGCACAAATGTGTATTAGCAACTGAATGTATAAACAGAAAATGACATATACGGAGAATGGAATGTTATTCAGCCATAAGAAGGAATACAGTTCTCATACATGTTATACCAATGAACTTTGAATACATAATGCTAAGTGAAAGAAGCTAGATGTAAAAAAGGACAATATTGTATGATTCCACTTTTATGAGTTACCTAGAATATGAAAATTTGTAGAGACAGAAAGTAGAACAGGAGTTACCAGAGATCCGTGGTGTGGATGGGGAGTTACTGCTTCATGGTTACAGAGTGTCTGTGTGGGGTGGTGAAATATTTTACACAAATTGTGACTGAATTGTGCACTTAAAAATGGTTAAAATGTCAAACTTGTGGTATATGTGTATTTTACCACAATAGAAATAATGTTAAAAATATATATTAGGGTTGTAATAATCCTGCCAGTGTACAGAATAATTTGAGTTTGTGTTGCTTAGTATTAAAATTCATACTTTTACAAAAATATTATTAAAAATAAGAGGAAAAAGTATAAACAGCCTTTAGTCTATAGCTAATTTTTCCCCAGTACTGAATACTCTGCTTAATTCTTGATCGTTTTGTAAGGGTTCTTTCCACTCGAGGTTATGGGAATACTAATGATTCCTTGCTGTGTGTGACCTCTGGGGTCATTCTCGCTGCTCCTTTTCAGTGGCTTTTCTTTTCACTTTAGGTTGTTTCCTCCCACAAATGTGCTGATATGTTTCAGGTGAAGACTAGAGGGGAACCTTCCTCTGATTTCATGATTCTCTACTGCACTCTCATCTCTCCCATCTTCTATTTTGCCTCTTCAAGCTGCCTTTGCTTTCTTTGATTATCAACTCTTATTTTCACAATTCAGGGATGCTGTGCGCTCCACAAAGATCATCTCCCACCCTATATCACCCTACCCCCCCCTACCCTGACAAGAAAATTCTCTCCAGGCAGTAAACTGGGGCAAAGGTGGGGTCATCTCACTTACTTCCCTTCTCTCTGAGATTACTGTCTTGTGCTGCCTATTGTCCAGTTCCTGCAAACCCTTTTCATATACTTTTGTTTGTTTCTTTAGTAGCTTAAATTTAGGCTACTAAAAGTGGGAGAATATATTTGGTCTCTGTTAGCCCGCCTTGTACATTCTTTTTTTTCAGCTGAGGTAAAAATTCCCAGAAGTCTTCTACCACATTTAATGATATTTTTAAAAGCTTTGGCAGTTGAGACGTTCTCTTAAGTGTAGCTAATCAAGATACTGCATTAGTTACGCTTTTTTTTTTTAATTGGACGGGCCAAAGGAGTAAGAATAAAGAATTTCATTGTAGCTGAAAGATTTTTATCTATGGGTAAAGCTTAAAAACCAATGTGCATGGCTTTTCTAAATTATGAATTGCCC